ACTCAGGCCCTTGCGCTTGCCAGGGAAGCGCTTATTCCACTGAGCCATCTCCCTGGCCCCTTTTTTTTTTTTTTTTTTTTGAGACCAGGTGTCACTGTGTAGCCCAGGCTGGCCTTGAACTTTCAACAGTCCTCTTAGCCTCCTGAGTACATGGATCAAGGGTGTGCACCACCACTCCCTTTCCTGGTTTAATCATTTGTATATTGATACTGCATTGTTTATGTTCTCTGTCTCTGCCCCTCTTTTTCTCTCATCTTTTTTTTTGAGATACACTGCAGTTCAGGCTGGTTTAAACTCTTTGAACAAAAATAAATTCATTTTGTAGCCAAGGCTGGCTTTGAATTCAGTGATCCTCCTGCCTCAGCCTCCCACGTACTGGGATTACAGGTTGGCATCACCATACCTGTCCCCCCCCCCTTTTTTTTTTTTTTTTACATTACTGGAGATTGAGTCCAGTGAGCACTGAGCTACATACCCAGCTCTTTCCATTTATTGATTTTTGAGGCAAAATATCACTAAATTGCTCAGACTGGCTTCCCTAGTAACTGGGATTAATAGGCATGCATTACTATGCACTGTCTCCCCCCACCCCAAACCGGGGATTGAACTCAGGCCCTTGTGCTTGCCAGGGAAGCGCTTATTCCACTGAGCCATCTCCCCAGCCCCTGCACTGCCCTTTTTTTTTTTTTAAATGTATTTGACACAGGGTCTCACTAGATACAGGGTCTTACTATGCAGCTTGGACTTGTAGGATCTCCTGTTTTCAGCCTCCCCAGTGCTGGGATTATAGGTGTGCGCCATCATGCCCAGACTGGGTTGTAGGCTCAGTGTGCCTGGGGGTGGGGCTGGCACAGCATGTGCCACTGGGGATAGAACCCCAGTCCCTGTGCTTTATTTTTTGTACTTTAAGGAAGGGTCTATGGGGTGTTCAGGGTCTCCCTACTAGATTGGACTCATAGTGATCCGCTTGTTTACAGCCTCCCAAGAGCCGGGATTACAGGCACGTGCCACCATGCCCAGTCTCAGTTGCCCTCTCAGCGCACCCCGGGGGTGGGGCTAGCACAGTAGGCCCGGGGATCAAACCCTGGCCCCTGTGCTTGCTTGCAGGCGCTTTAATCCACTGAGCTACTTGACCGGCCCTTATTTTTTCCCTAATTACCGAGTTGTCCTATAAATATATTATCCTTTCCCAAACACAAGCCTGGATTCATCTGTCCTATTAGCCTCCTTCCTGGGGATAGTTTGGGGGCAAAGGTAGTTTCTGCTCTGCACACCTGTTTGGATGATGCTGCCATCTGCTGAGACAACAAATATGGGAGAAAAGCAAGAAAATGGAATTTAGTTTTAGAAATGTTGAGTTTGACCCTGTTTGCATGCAGGCGACCCAGATAAGGACAGCTAGTAGGCAGTTGTTTTTTTTGTTTTTTTTTTTTTTTCTTTTTGAGACAGGCTTACTATGTTGCCTAGGCTGGCCTCCACCCACAGTGACCCTCCTGCCTCAGTTTCCTGAGTGCTGGCAGTACAGGCTTGTGCCACCATGCCCAGCAGGCAGTTCTATTTAAGGACTAGCCAAGAAACCCAGTCTAGAGGTAGAGATTTGCAACCCCTGGATTTATAGATGGTGACCGAAGCTGCAGTCACACGTAAAATTGTACAGGGAATGAGTGTGTGAAGCAGGGAGAGAAGAATCCAGAGGAGCCAGTGTTGGTAGCAAGCACTTGTTGTCTTACCACTTGGGAGGCTGAAGCAGGAGAATCACTGTGAGTCTGAGGCCAGCCTGGGCTATGTGGCAAGAACCTGTCTCAAAAAAAAGAAGAGTAGAGATGACGGGCCAACTGGTGGAACAGAATCCATAAACTTAGGGGGCCTGGCCGTAGCTCAGGCCTTTAAGTGGCTGCTTCCACAAAGCTGTCAGCCTCAGGTTGCTGGAGTTCAAACCACACACCTCTCCAGCTGGCCAAAAGTGCCCTGAAGGCATTCGAGGAACAAAAAAAAAAAAAAAAGAATCCATAAACCTAGGGCCAGGGAGATGCCTCAGTGGAATAAGCACAAGGCTATGAGTTCAATCCCTGGTACCGCAAAAAAAAAAAAAGAATCCACAAGCTTTTCCTGAGACAGCTTCAAAGCCAAGGATCTCAACGGAAATCCTAAATTATTTGACTCTTTTTACCTGTTTTTTTTTTTTTTCTTTTGCGGAACCAGGGATTGAACTCATAGCCTTGTGTTTGCCAGGGAAGTGCTTATTCTACTGAGCCATCTCCCCAGCCCCTTCTTTTTGCCTTTTTACTAGTTGCCAAATATAAGCTCCGAATAGTTCATCCACCTGTGTTGCCTCTGGAAAAGAAACCCAACCCTGATGGCGACGGTGAGTAGTGCTGGCGCCCTCTGACTCGGCTATGTGCTGGGCTGGTGACCAGGGATGCTGGGCCAGCGAGCTGTGGCACTGTCTCCTTTTGCTCCGCACAGGTCCAGATATTGAACCCAACCTGTGGATGTGGGTGAACCCCAACATCGTGTACCCTCCAGGCAAGCTGGAGGTCCCAGACGCCACAGAGACGGCTGATGAGACACACAAGGTCCCCTGCCCTCAGCCATCCCTTGAAAAGCAAGATGCCAGCAGCTCAGAGGGCAGCTCTGTGGAATCACTGCTGTCTTCCTGCAGCGAGCAGTCGCCCCCTCAGAAGTGGAAGCAGAAGCAGCTCACCTCTTCCCCTGGTGACAGGGAGGTATGTATGGATGTAGCCTGGGCAGTAGGCAGGGTGGGCCCGGGAACAAGCATCAGTGCTGGGACTTCTAGGGACAGCCAAAGGCTACCATGCAGAAGTGAGCAGGCCCCTCGCATTGGGGAGGCCACACAGCCCTCCGCCTCTCCCCTTCAGCGGCTGCACCCTGGAGTGGAGGCTGCTGAGTAGTCAGGAACCAGTTCCTACCCCGCTCCTCTAGCTCACAGAAGAGGAGGAGGCCGAGGACCAGGATGACAGCTCCTCTGTGGCTCTCCTGCCCCCTCTCACAAGGGCCTCCCTCCAGAGTCGGAGGCTGCAACAAACCATCAGCCTGGAGGGGAAGCTTTGGTCCCGGCCCCCTCTCAATTACTTCCATCTAATTGCACTGGCACTAAGCAGCAGTGCCCCCAGTGGCCTCAACGTGCAGCAGATCTACGATTTTACTCGGTATGTGTCTAGGGCCCTGTGATGAGGTCAGTGGGAGGGGGTCCGGCCCTGGCCTGAAGCCTTTCCATCTGTCCCTGCCCTGGGCCATGACTCAGTTTGAGGAGCATCCTCCCAGGCCAGTGTGTGCCTCCCCACCTGTGAGCAGGATCCCTCCATGAAATCATGGGTCATAACACCTCCTTTCACTGCACCTCTGGAGATTAGCCAGTACAGATACGGGTTTCCCTACCAATGTCCCACCTGCTTCTAGGGAGGTCCTGACTGTCACAGCTCTCCCAATACCCCAGGGCAGGGAAGCCTGGTCAGGAAGGGGCCATCATTCAGTATTGTGCAGTGCACATTTGTGTGTGCGTTCTGGAACGGAACCCAGGCCTCACACACGCTGAGTGTGCACTGTACCACAGTGGTCACTCCCAGTGCTGCATCTAGCTCTGACTGCCCGATACCTGCGTGACGGAGTTTCTCAGGCCTTTTCACAGGATTGGTGTGGAGAAGAGCCTGATGTCTCAGGTTATTCATCCTCCAGTGGTGTGGCCCCTTGACAGGAGGCCTGATTCTGCTTTGTTTTTGATATAGCCCAGAAATGAGCCCTGAGCGCAAATAAGGAAACTGAGGCTAAGAGCAGGAAGGTGGGCTTTAAAAAGAAGAGTTAATGCCAGGAGTGGTGGTACTTCCTGTCCTCGCATGGTGTCCTAATCCCTGCTCTCAGGCAGAGGTGGGAGGATTGCTGTGATTTCATGGCCACCGTGAGCTACATAGCAAGACCCTGTCTCAAAAAAAATAGAAATAAAAAGTAAAATAATGTCTGGGTGTGGGCAGGCATTGGATGGCAGCGCTCTGAGAGGCTCATGAAGTGGAATGATTGAAAATTGGAGCCCAGGGGCTGGAGAGATGGCTCAGTGGTCTAAAGCACCTACTTGAAACAGGCTTGGCAAAGCACAGGGACCACGGTTCGATCCCCCAGCACCACATGCCAGCCAGCCCCGCCCCCTGGTGGGCTGAGCTGGCCACACACACAATAAATGTAATAAATAAAAATAAATAATTAAAAAAAGAAAAAAAGAAGAAAAAAAGAAAATTGGAGCCCAGCCTAGACAATCTAGCAAGATTCTGTCTCAAAAATTTAATTTTTTTTTCTGGAATTGGGGATTGAACTCGGGCCCTTGCACTTGCCAGGGAAGCACTTATTCTGAGCCATCTCCCTGGCCACTAAAAATTTAAGAGTGTGTGTGTGTGTGTGTGTGTGTGTGTGTGTGTGTTCATTCTACTCATCCCATCTTGGGGATGGGACTGGCATGCGGCATGTAGTACTGGGGATTGAACCACAGTCCTTGCGCAACTTGCCTAAGCAGGCACTTTGGACCTCTGAGCTATCTTGTATACACCCAAAAATTTAAATTAAAAAAAATTTCTTTTCCAGTATTTAGGACAGGGTTTATAGGGTTTTACCATGTAGATCGGACTCATAGTGATTCTCCTATTTTCAGCCTCCCAAGTGCTGGAATTACAGGGGCACACCACTACACCAAGTCTCAACTGCCAGCTCAGTGCACCCCACAGATGGGGCCAGCACAGCACACCAGGGATCAAACCCCAGCCGCCAAGCTCTGACTAAGGACTAAGCAGGTGCTTTTGTCTGCTGAGCTATCAGGCCAGCCCTTAAATTTTAAAAAAGGCTGGGGACGTAGCTCAGTGCAGCATCCCTTAGTACAACAGCCCAGAATTGTCATGTGTGCAGTCAGCAAACAGCAGCCAGTCGAACTTTGCATTATCAACCTTGAGAGAAGATCTGAGGCTCCTGGCCCCTGGGGAGAGCTATCGCGGGAGGGGTCCTTTGCCACTGAAACCTTCCTCGTCTTGCCTTTCTCCCCTGCCCACAGACGGCACTTCCCGTTTTTCCAGAGGGCTCCGGAAGGCTGGAAGAATACCATCCGTCACAATCTCTGTTTCTGCAACAGCTTTCAGAAAGTGCCAGTCAGTATGCAGGGGGAGGCCAGCCCCCGCGCTCGCTCCTGCCTCTGGAAGTTGACTGAGGAGGGACGTCGCCGCTTTGTGGAGGAGGCCCGCGCCTTGGCTTCCACTCGGCTGGAAAGTATCCAGCGGTGCATGAGCCAGCCAGGTGTGATGCCTTGTCATGAGTGGGCCGAGGGGGGCCTGAGGGGCTGAGCTAAGGCTACTAAGCTGAGTCCCCCTCTGGGAGCATCCTCTGGAGGAAGCAGGACTGCCGCAGTGGTCTGAGCCTCACTGGCGATGGCTGGTAGAGATGAGCCCACTTCTGTTGGCACAAGCCTAGATGTGCCAGGGCTCAGGTTGGCCCCACTACGGGACCACGAGAAGTGTTACACATGCACAGGTGGCTTTCTCTTTCTCCTGGTGCTGTTCAGGAAGCCCCAGAAAAGGTGGTGCATGTGTGTTCAGCAAGAAGGGAATGGCCTAGGGCTGGTGAGATAGGTCAGTGGACTAAGCACCTGCTTTCACAAGCACAGGGATCAGGGTTCAATCCCAGGTTCCATCCCACATGCTGTGCTGGCCCTGCCCCTGGGACTCACTTAGGCAGGGACCAGGTCCGGGTGTGGTGGTGCATGCCTGCAATCCCAGCGCTGGGGAGGCTGAAAACAAGTGGATCACTAGGAATCTGAGCTGTGCATAGTAAGGCCTAGTACTAAGTACATTAAAAAAAAAAAAAAAAAAGGTGAATGGCCTGCTAGCAGAGAGCACTCCAGATGTGGGACAACAGTTGCAAAGAACAAGTTCCTTTGAACTTATTTATTTTCTTACAGATGCGGTGCCCTTCCTCTTTGACCTATAAGGAACAAGAGTCATCATCAGCTGTGCCTTATTAAAGTTCCTGACAGCAGCCTCTGCATGTGTGTGCATGCGTGCGTGTTTGCACGTGTGGGCTCCCATGCGTGAGTCTTGGGGGTGGGGGGCTCAGGGCAGGAGTGTAGGTCACCTCCAGGTGTGGAAACAAGGGCCCTCAGCACCGTGGGTGGCTCCTGAGGTCACAGGGCAGTCACCGGTGTGCAGCTGGGGGAGTCTCTGCTGTTCATTCTTCAGGCTCCTGGAGCATCTTCCATGATCCTGTGTTATGAAGACTGTCTAAGAAGATGCGCCGCTCTTTCACCTTCAGCATCCATTGAGAGGCTGCCACGGACCAAGCTAGGTCAGAAGATAGGTGCCGTGAGGAGCTGTCATGGCAGAGAGAATGCACCTTAGAAGCCCTGAGGTTCAAGGAGTTGGCGGCCTTTAATGTTGTGTGGTGCTAGAGATCAGGCCCAGAGCCTCGGACATTCTAAGTGTACCTCCCCTCCCCCACCAAGCTGTCTCCAACCCTGCTTGATCTTTGTGGGTTTTTTTGTTGTTGTTTTTGTTTTTGTTTTTTGTGGCTCCTTGTTGGTTTTCATAATGTTGGAGGTCAAACTCAGGGCTTCATGCATGTTTTTGATTTTGTGTATATTTGAAAGTTTCAGTCAGAAAATGTGTATCTGGCCAGGCATGGTGGTGCATGCCAGTAATCCCAGCACTTGGGAGGCTGAAGCAGGATCATCATTGGAAGTTTGAGACCAGTTGGGCTACAAAGTGAGCTCAAGGCCAGCTTGAGCTGCATACTGGAGACCCTGTCTCAAAAAGACCTCCCCCCCAAAAAAAGTGTGTATCTGTTCGCCCATGGCTTGTTTTATTTATGTACCCATTTCCGTTTTCCATCCATTCTCCACCCCTCATCATCTTTCCCCTTAAAGTTGAGTTTTCCTGGCCAGGGAGATAGCTCAGTGGAGCAAGTGCTTGGTTGGCAAGCGCAAGGTCCTGAGTTCAATCCCCAATACCAAAAAACCCCAAATTGAACGACAGCCGTGTACCACTGCGCCCAGCAGCATTTTTTGTTCGTTTTTACTTTTTCCTCTGAGCTGTGCTGCCCTTGGTAGTTTTCTTAACATTTTTAAATCTGTTTCCTTGATATGTAAAACAGAGATAATAAAAATACACAGCTTTGAGATGATACCTAAAGGATAATGGGAGGGCAGAGTGTGATGTGCTGGCATTTACAGAGCGCTTGGGGACACAGCTCTGCATGGATCTGCAGAGTGTCGGGGAGCAGGGGCAGTGCTGCCCTGTCGTTGTAGGGCAGCTGCTACATTGGAGGACAACACTTCATTTTCTGTCCACTCGGCACCTCTTAATCCCTTATACTCTCGCTGCCTTTCCTTTTTATTTTTCTGGATGAATACAATTAGATCATGGTACTGAGCTTTAAATGTGACATATGGGGCCAGGGAGATAGCTCGGTGGTCTACATGCCTTCCTGGCAAGCACGAGGATCCAGGGTTTGGTACCGCATGCTGAGCCAGCCTCGTGCCTGAAAATGGGCATGGTATTGCACACCTGTAATCCCAGCACTGGGGAGGCTGACAGGAGGATCGCTACAAATCAGAGCTGTGTAGTGACACCCTCTGCCAGATGTAAAAAGTGACTTGTGAGAGCCAAGCACGGTGGCACATGCCTGTAACACCAGCACTCAAGAGGCTGAGGCAGGAGGAGCGCTGACATCAAGGCCAGATTGAACTGCATAGTGAGACCCTGTCCCCCCAAAACGAATCATGGGTCAGCCAGTAGGCAACTGGGAGGCTAAGGCAAGAGGACTGCCACAATTTCAAGGCCAGCCTTAAGTACATATGTCTCAAAAGCAAAAATTATTTCCGCGTGTGGGAGGTGCCTTACTAGATTCCTTTCAGAGACCTAAGGTGTGTGCGCTTCCCTGGGATCTTAGGGCACGCAGCAAGGCGCACCACTTCACCAAGCATCGTCTGCAGCTCATGGGGCTCCTTTTATGTGCTGCAGGTAGCCAGACAGAGCACCGAGGGGAAGCTAATGCTCAAGTCGGAGCCTAGTATGGGGCCTTTAGGCATAAAGGCTGAGGCATGGGCTGTGGCATAAGCACCTGCCAGGCGAAGTACAAGGTCTTGAGTTCAATCCCCAGTACCCCCTACAAAAAGCAAAAAATGCTGGAGGGGCTGGTGAACTCTGCCTCCTGCACCTGCTGGTGCTTCCTGAGATACCCCAGCTTGAGGCTACACTCTTCATCAGGATAAAGGGGACGCATGTTAATACCGAATTTTTTCTGGTGTGCGAATCCTGAAGTGTATATTAGGTATTATTAGGAGACAGGAAGGAAATGTTCCACCAAGAAGGAGAACAAGGGAGGCCAAGGGGCAAAGGAAGGAAGGGCTAAGACCAAAGGCAAAAATGGAAACGAAGCTTTTGTAGATGGGGGAACGGGAAAAAAGAAAGATTATGTGCAGTTACAAATTCCCTGCAGTGAGTGTTCATCTAAAATTCATGATATGAATTTTGATACGTAAAATGTACTAATAATCTTAAACCACAAAACGAATCCAGGAAAAGAAAAGTGCCTGGTACCAGCCTGCTGTGTGGGGGTCTGAGGATGGCATGCAGACAGAGGCTGAGAAGCCTGGAGGAGCGGGGATCCGATGGGACGGCTACTAAGGACTCTATGTCCAGCTAGACACAGTGGAGGTTGCAAGTGCAGCGACTATACCTGACGTTTGGAGCTTTTAGCAACCCAGCTTACTGCAGAGTATTGGGTATCCATGCTGGCTTTCAATTCACTATGTAGGGGCCAGGGAGATGGCTCAGTAGGATAAGTGCTTGACTGGCAAACACAAGGATCTGAGTTCAATCCCTGGTTCTGCTAAAAAAAAAATAATAAAATCACTATGTAACCAAGGCTGGCCTCAAACGTGGTAGTTCTCCTGCCTCAGCCTCTAGAGTGCTAGGCTCATAGGTATGTGTCACCATGCCCAGTCTATAAATTAAATTATAGAAATATATGTATAGGAAGAATAGACATAGGACTTGGCACTATCCAATTCCAGCCATCCACTGTGGGTCTGGGAATACATCCTCCTCTTACTTTCTGAGCCAGGGTCTCATGTAGTTTGGGATGGTCCTGAATTCACTAGGTGGCCCAGGCTGGCCTCCAACTGGCAGCAGTCCTGCCTCCTCCTGGGATCACAGGTGTGCATCACTGCCATTTATCTTGGAATGCAGCCCTTGAAGATAAGGGAAAAACTGTATTTGTTGATTGTTTTTGAGGTATTGTCTTACTTTGTACCCCACACTGGCCTGGAATTTTCATTCCTCCTGCTTCCGCCTCCTCAATGGTGAGATTAGGGCTGGGGAGATAGCTCAATAGAATAAGCGCTTGCCTAGCAAGCGCAAGGTCCTGAGTTCAGTCCCCAGTACCACAATAAAAAAAAGTGCTCAATGGTGAGATCATAGGCACAAACTACCACACCCGGCTACAGAGTGACGTTTTCAACAGACTTTATAGTGAGTGAAAACTAGCCAGGCCTGGTTACAGGTAGACAGCTGTAATCCCGGGCTCTGGAGGCTGAGGCAGGAAGATCACATAAATTTGAGGTCAGTGTGAAGTATATAGATTTCAAAACAAAGAGCTGGACGGCAGAATGGGAAGGTGAAGGTTTTTTGTTTTGTTTTGTTTTGTTTTTTTTGTGACGTGTTCTAATAGAGTGAATTAAAATTTTTTGTTTTCAAAACAAATCACATGAACAATGGTGATGCATGCTTGTAATCCCAACATTTTGGGAGGCTGGGGCAGGAGGATCATACATTCAAATCCCACCTGAGCAATTTAACAAAACCCTCTCGAAAGGAAAGGAGGAGGGAGCTGCGGATATAGCTCAGTGGTGCAGCACCTGTTGGATTCCTGCTGCGAAAGGGGTGGACATGCTATAGCTCAATGTAAAGATTCTGGGTTCAATCCCTAGTTTCACAGACACACACACACCCTCAGGTGTGATGGCACATGCCTGTAATCTCAGAAACTGAAGAGGCTGAGATAAAAAGGATCACTACAATTTTCAGGCCAGCCTGAACTACATGGTGAGACCCTGTTTCAAAAACCCAGAGATAGATGCAGACACATGCAAAGACAAATGGACTCACCATGTTGTCCCATCTGGCCCTGAACCTGGGTTCAAGTGAGCCCCTGCCATGGCGCTGAGTCACTGGACTACAGACACCCGCAGCATCACAGGGGGAGTAGAACGGACGGTACCTGGAGTGTGGGGCTCAACCAAGAACGGATGTGAGCAAGGGGAGAAAGACCCAAGACGGAGTTGAGGAGGGAGTCAAAGACTGGGTTATGCGGGCTTTTCTAGGTTATGATAAAGATTTAAGATTTGGGGGGTTTTCTGGTTTTGAAACAGGATCTCGGGCCAGAGAGATAACTCAGTAGAATAAGTGCTTGCCTGGCAAGTGCGAAGTCCTGAGTTCAATCCCCGGTACAGAAAAAAAAAAAAAAAAAGATCTCACTATGTCGTTCAGGCTAACTTTGAACTCACTATGTAGCCCAGGCTGGTTGTGGCAATCCTGTCTCAGCCTCATAAGTGCTAGGATTATAGGCACATGCCACCATGATGCCTGGCAGGATTTTTTATTTTTTTTTTATTTTTTTTAAGCATAGTAGAAGTTGTAGTAAGCACCATAATCTGTTGGATCTAAAAGATGTGACCATCAGTCACGTTGAAAGGGCTGTCAGGGTGAAAGTGGAAGAGCAAGTGTTTGTAGTAACCTAGGCAACAGGGACCACGGAAGTAGAGATGCTGACCTACCTGACCGTGGGTGGTAGAGGCAGAAAACGCACCAAGAAGGCCTCAGGCTGGCTTGGGCAATGGGGTGGCAGTGGGCGAGGAAGCCTGGGGAGCAGCCGATTGGGCAGGTCTCTCTGGACGCTGCGGCACACAGGATGGCTACGTCAGGTTGTTATACAGCCAGAGTTCTGGAGAGAAGCGTGAGCTGAAGAGGCAATTGAGCTGGCTCCTGGTGTCTGGGGCACTGGTGCTGCAGAGACCCAACTCCAGGGATGCGTTCATATCAAATGGCCTGCGCTCCTCCAGATACTTTATTTTCTAAAATGTATTTAGTGGGGCTGGTGAGATGGCTCAGTGGTCTAAAGCGCCTACTTAGAACAAGCTTAGCAAAGCCCAGGGACCACGGTTCAATCCCCCAGC